GAAAAGACTGGGAGAAGTGCGGGGCCTGGTTTCTCTTCAGCAAAGGTAAAGACTCTTCCCCTTCTCTCCTGGGTCCTTCTTCCCTCCAGAGCCTGTGATGTGGTCCCCCGCTGCAGGCAGCTTGGGGCTGAGCTGGGAGGGGGCCCTGGGGACAGGGTGTGGCTAAAGGCCTGGGGTGAGGGACAGCAGCAGAATTTTGTGAAGTGAGGGTGGTGGGGGCCGTGGAGGGCCCTGGGCCTCAAGTGGCCACCCTTGCCCAGCCTGCCCTGCTCTCCTGGGCCCATGTGCTCCTGGCCGCAGCCTGTGCCTCCTGTCTCCCGCAGCCACCCGGGGAGGCTCTCTCACAAGGGTGGCTTTCATCAGCTGGCATGTCGAGACTCCCCTGGTGAGATTGCCAAACGGGGTCTGAAGAAGCTCACCAGCCATGCGCAGAGCCTGTGGAAGATGCAGCTCTCACCATGTCTCCACTGTTTCCCTGGCTACTCTGACCAAGCACCCTCTCACTCTGGCCTCCACCCTGTCAGCAGAACTTCCAGAAGACCGATCTGACTTGACCAGAATCCCACTGGGCACGGTTGCCATGAGTTCAGCCCCAGGTAACTCCTGTTTGGCATCTCCCAACTCAGGCCTCGGCCCTGCAAGCTGTTGCATTTCCTTTCTCCCCTGGTGGAAGATGACCAAGGTCTTGTTCTTCCCCACTTCATCACACTTTGAGTCCCACCAAGGACACCTGTCCTGCAATGCCCCAGTGGCCTCATTCTGGGGCAGCCCTACAAACAGGCAGGGAGAGATGAATAGCCGCTCAGTTGCCAACCCTGATGTCCAGAAGCTGGTGGAGACACTAATCACCAAAGGAGTAGAAAGGAAGGTCTGGGAAAAGGAAGAAAAAGAAAATCAATGCACTTAACAGATGCTCGAGGCACACAGTATCACATCTGGGCTGGGGTTCAGGTGGGGCCTACCCATCTTGACCTTGGAGCCTGGAGATCTTCATGTTTGTGAGGCTCAACATTTGGCCCTTCCACAGTTCACTTTTCTCTCTCAGCCATCAGTGAATCTGGGGCCCACTGGAAAGCCAACTTTGCCAAGAATTTGGGAAAACCTCCTGAGTCAATTCCAGGAGGGAAACTTAAGAGTTTGATAACAAAAGACAGTTCCCAATCTGGCCGGTCCCCTCCCTGCTTCCTCACCTGCGTGTGAGGAAATCCAGAAGGCCCTGGGAGGGACCCTCCCTGCTGATGGCTGTGGGCCCTCAGAGGCCCCTCTGATTGGAGAGGAAGGCAGGCTGCCTTCTCAGACCTTCACACTCAGCCTCATGGGCAGAAGCTGGCAGGGCGGGACTGTCGAGGGGGCCGAGCAAGGCAGTGTAGACTTGAGTCCAGGGTAGGCAATAGCCAGGAGTGAGCCAAGGAAGGAGAGTGGGGATGGGGCCTCACAAGACCCTTGCCATGGGGTAGCAACACTGGAGGTGAACTCGGGGTCCCAGTCTTCGAGGGCTGAAGAGGCCTGGGAGGTTGTGGAGGCCGAGGAGGCCCCTCTTTGGGAAGTCATGTTGGGATCCAGAGTGCTGGCCAACTCCCAGACCATCAGTGTGCATGTGAGGAGTCCAGGGTCTCCAGGGTCCAGAAAAAGCCCCTGACCACCTACCATGTCAGTTGCCAAGATCCAAAGGACCTTAAAACCAAGCTTGCTGGGAAGCTCGAGCTGCGAGGGAAGGCAGCGTCAGAGACGCAGCCTCAAGGCTGTGCTGCAGGCATGCTCCTTCAAGACTCTCACCCCCGCGTGCTCCATGCTCCACACATCTTGGCTTCTCACTGGTCACTGTCCAGTTCCCAGAGGGAACACACCAGTGGGGACACACCAGCTTGCCAGATGCCATATGACCTCCAGTCAAGTGGAGGGAGCAGCC